CACTGTCTCTACTAAAAATACAAAATACAAAAAAAAAATTAGCCAGGCATTGTGGCAGGTGCCTATAATCCCAGCTACTCTGGAGGCTGAGGCAGAAGGATCACCTGAACTCAGGAGTTTGAGGTTGCTGAGAGCTAGGCTGACACCACAGCTTGCTACTCTGGGCAACATAGCGAGCCTCTGTCAAGACAGGGAAGAAAGAGGGAAGGAGGGAGGGATGAAGGAAGGAAGACAGAAAGACAAGAAAGGAAAGACAAGGGCAGCACCTGTGGCTCAGTGGGTAGGTCACCAGCCCCATAACCCTGGCCCCGGGCCAAACTGCTATAACAACAACCAAAGCGTTGTGGCAGGTGCGTGTAGTCCCAGCTACTCAGGAGGCTGAGGCAGGAGAATCACCTAAGCCCAGGAGTTGGAGATTGCTGTGAGCTGTGATGCCATGGCACTTCTACTGAGGGCAATAAAGTGAGACTCTGTCTTAAAAAAAACAGGAAAGGCAAGACAAGAAAGACAAGGAAAGAGGAAAAACAAGAAAGGCAGAAGGAAGGAGAGACAGAAAGAAAGACAAGGAAGGAGGGAAGACAAGAAAGACAGGAAGAAAGTCAGGAAAGGCAGGAAGAATGGGAAGGAAGGAAGGAACAGAAAGAACAACAGACAGATGGATAGACAGAAAGAAACATAGACAGATTAACAGACAGAAAGACAGAAAAACAGAAGACAGACAGAAAGACAGACACACAGAAAGAAAGAGAGACCAACAGACAGAAAGAGACAAAGAGACAGAGACAGAAAGACAGAAAACAGACTGACAGACGGACAGAAAATGTAAGACAGACACACAGAAATAAAGACAGAAAGACAGACTGACAGAAAGACAGACATACTGACAGACAGAAAGACACACAGAAAGACAGACAGAAACATAGACAAAAAGCCAGATGGACAGACCAACAGACAGAAAGACAGAGAAAGACAGAAAGACAGAAAAATGGAAGACAGAAAGACAGACACATAGAAATAAAGACAGAGAGAAAGACAGACTGACAGACAGACAGACAGAAAGACAAATGGACAGACAGACACAGAAAAAGAGATGGACAGACAGACCTACAGAAAGACAGAATGAAAGACAAAAAGACAGAAAGAAAGGCAGAAGAACAGAAGACAGATAGAAAGACAGACAGAAATAAAGACAGACCGACAGAAAAACGGACAGAAAGACAGATGGACAGACAGACACACAGAAAGACAGACAAAAAGATGGACAGAGAAAAAGACAAACCGACCAACAGACCGACAGAAAGACATACAAACCAAAAGACAGACAGACAGAAAGAAAAAGACAGAGAGAAAAACAGAAGACAGAAAAACACACAGACGGACAGATGGACAGACAGACAGATGGACTGGCTCAGCGCCTGTACCACAGTGGTTACGGCACCAGCCCCATACACTGAGGCTGGCGGATTGGAACCCAGCCAGGGCCAGCTAAACAACAATAACAACTGCAAGAAAAAAATAGCTGGGCATTGTGGCAGGCGCCTGTAGTCCCAGCTACCTGGGAGGTTGAGGCAAGAAAATCACTTAAGCCCAACAGTTTGAGGTTGCTGTGAGACATGACACCACAGCACTCTACCAAGGGCAACATAGTGAGACTCTGTCTCAAGAAAAAAGAAAAAGACAGAAAGATGGAGAGAAAAACAAAGACAGAAAGATAGACAGATAGATGGAAAGACAGAAAGAGGAGAGAGAGACAGGAAAGGAAGACAGGAAATAAAGGAAAAAAAGAGAGAGAAAGAGAGAGGAAGGAAGGAGAAAAGGAAAGAAAGAGAAAAAGGAGTAAAACTACTTCTGTTTGCAGATTATATGTAATAGTATATAGAGAAAACCTAAGAGAATCAGTGATAAACACTGAAAACAAACTGACAATTCGGTAAATAGGTTATACAATTAAAAATCAATCACCCTCTTACATACAAATAATAATCAGAAGAAATCCTAGAAAAGAAATCCTATTTATAGTAACAACAAAAAAGATAAAATACTCAGAAGTATACCTAACAACAATGTACAAAGCCTATGTTAAGAAAATAGGCTTTTAAAAATCTCCTAAAACAGTGGTTCTCAACCCTCCTAATGCCGTGGCCCTTTAGTACAGTTCCTGTGGGTCATGACCCACAGGTTGAGAACCTCTGTCCTAAAGAAAAAAGTACCTTTGGGTACTTTCCTGTCCATTCTTCACTTCCCTTCCGGTCTCTTCGTGTCCCTTCGTCCCTTCACGTTGGGTCCCTTCGTATCCCTTCGTCCCTTCGCTTCAGGTCCCTTCGTGTCCCTTCATCCCCCTTTGTACCTTTGCTTCAGGTACCTTCGTGTCCTTTCGTCCCCTTTCATCCATTCCCTTCGGGTTCATTTGTGTCACTTTGTCCCTTCCCTTCGGGTCCCTGCGTGTTTCTTTGTTCCTTTCCTTCGGGTACTTTCATGTCCCTTCGTTCCTTCCCTTCGGGTACCTTCGTGTCCCTTCGTTCCTTCCTTTCGTGTCCCTTTGTCCCTTCCCTTCAGATCCATTTCTCCCATCATTTCATGTCCCTTCCCTTCCCTAGGCCACTTCCCTTCTCTATCCTTCTTTGGGTCCATTACCTTCCCATTGTCACCCATCCCGTCCAGTTCCATACTATGGTCCCATCGGGTCACTTCATCCTTTCCCTTCAGGTCCCTTCATCCCTTCCCTTTGGGTCTCTTTGTGTCCCTTCCTCCTTTCCCTTCAGGTCCCTTCCTTCCTTCCCTTCCGTTACCTTCGTGTCCCTTCATCCCTTCCCTTGGGTTCCCTTCGTGTCCTTTCATTTTTTCCCTTCAGGTATCTTCATCCCTTCCCTTCAGGTAACTTCGTGTCTTCACTACGTGTCCTTCACTTTGGGTCCCTTCGTCCCCTTCGTCCCTTCCCTTCGGGGCCCTTCGTGTCCCTTCATTCCTTCCCTTTGGATACCTTCCTCCCTTCCCTTCGGGTAACTTCATGTCCTTCACTTAGTGTCCTTCACTTCGGGTCCCTTTGTCCCCCTTTGTTCCTTCATCCCTTCCCTTCGGGTACCCTCGTGTCCTTTTGTTCCTTCCTTTCAGGTCCCTTCGTCCCTTCCCTTTGGGTCTCTTTGTGTCCCTTTGTCCTTTCTCTTCAGGTACCTTCATCCCCCCTCATCCCCTCCCTTCGGGTCCCTTAGTGTCCCTTCGTTCCTTCTTTTCCATTACCTTTGGGTCCCATCGTGTCCTTTCATTTTTTCCCTTCGGGTATCTTCGAGTCCCTTCGTCCCTTCCCTTGGGTAACTTCGTGTCCTTTTGTCCTTCACTTCAGGTCCCTTCATCCCTTCCCTTCGGATCCCTTTGTCCCATCATTTCATGTCCCTTCCCTTCCCTACCCTTCCTTGGGTCTATTTCCTTCTCATTGTCACCCATCCTGTCGAGTCCCTTAGTATGGTCCCATCCGGTCACTTCATCATTTCCCTTCAGGTCCCATCATCCCTTCCTGTCCCTTCGTTCCTTCCATTCAGGCCCTTGGTGTCCCTTCATTCCTTCCCTTTGGATACATTCATGTCCCTTTGCCTCTTCCTTTTGGGTAACTTCATGTCCCTTCATTCCATCCCTTTGTGTCCCTTTATCCCTTCCCTTCGGATCACTTTCTCTGGTCAGTTCATGTCCCTTCCCTTCCCAGGGTCACTTACCTTCCCTATCCTCTTTGGGTCCATTCTCTTCCCAGTCTCACCCATCCCATTGAGTCCCTTAGGATGGTCCCATCGGGTCCCTTCATCCCTTCCCTTCAGGTCCCTTCATGTCCCTTCTTACCTTCCCTTCGGGTCCCTTCGTTCCTTCCCTTTGGGTACCTTTGGGTACCCTTGTCCCTTACCTTCAGGTAACGTCGTGTCCCTTTGTCCCTTCCCTTCAGGTCCCTTTGTTTCTTCCCTTCAGGTACATTCATGTCCCTTTGTCCTTTGCCTTCGAGTACCCTTGTGTCCTTTCATTTCTTCCTTTCGGGTCCCTTTGTCCCTTCCCTTTGCATCTCTCAGGTCCCTTCATGCCTTCCCTTCAGGTCCATTAGTCTCTTCCCTTCGGGTCTCTCAGTTCCCTCGGACCCCTTTTTCCCTTCCCTTCAGGTCCCTTCGCGTCCCCCTGTCTGTTCCCTTCGGGTCCCTAGGGTTGCTTCATGCCTTACCTTCAGGTCCCTTGGATCCCGAGGTCCCTTCACTATGGGTCTCTTCATCCCTTCCCTCCCCTTCTGTTCCTTTCCCTTCCCTCTTTCTTTCTTTCTTTTTTTTTTTTTTGAGACAGAATCTCACTCAGTCACCCTGGGTGGCAGGAATTGCTTGGCTTTATAGCCCACAGCAATCTCACACTCCTGGGTTTGAGTGATCTTCTAGCCTCACTCTCTCAAGTCCCTGGGACCATAGACACCTCCCACAATGCTTGGCTCATTTTTCTATTTTTAATAAAGATGTGGTCTTGGTCTTGTTCAAGTTGGTCTTGAACTACTGAACTCAAGCAATCCACCCATCTCAGCCTCCCAGAGTGCTGGGATTGCAGGTGTGAGCCACTGTGCCTGGCCAGGGTACATTTAATTGTAAATTAGTGTTACAGATTTGGGGTAATTCATTGTACATTTAATTCTCACATTCTTCCTTGATGTTTGTGCTTTGGGGTAGTACTTCCCAGTCTTTTTTCACTTAATGGCATACGGAGAACATGAAGCTATTCATGTGGCACCATGGAATAAGCCAGTGAGGCTGCTGGTAGAATTTCCCAAGGGGCTCCAACTATCCCAGGCTCCCACCTGGTTGCCCTAAGGGTGGAGTGTATTAGTATCTAGTATGTGCTATGACACACCATTTGGGAACGTCTGCTTTAGTGATAGAATTAGCAAGAAGGTAATGGTTATGATTCAAACCATGGTTCTCTGTTGCTTCGGTTCATGTAGTTTGGTAGAAAGGCTATCTTTGCTGAAGCATCCCCTCTGTGCTTAGATCAAAGGGCGAACTATCCGAGTGGATCATGTGTCTAACTATCGGGCTCCTAAGGACTCAGAAGAACTAGATGAGGAGACCAGAAGGCTGCAGGAGATTGGTTGTGGGGCTCACACCCCCTCACCGAGTTTGTCTGAGGGCTCTGAAGATGAGGAACCCACAAAAAAGCACAAAAAAGGTAAAACGTTAAGATCCAAGAGAAGATTCTGGGTAGTGTTCCTGGACAGTTGGTAATCAACTCTTACATGTGGAGAGGGAAGGCTTGGAGCACCTTATTTTAATTAGGAAAACGGGAAGGATCAGTGGAAGTCTAGTATTATGAGCAGAACTGTATCCCCCCAAGTTGGTATGTTGAAGTCTTAACCCCAGTACCTAAGCATGTGACTGTTTTTGGAGATAATGTCTTTAAAGTGGTAATTCAGGATGGAGTAGCCTTGTATAGTGACTTGACATTTCAAGGGTGGCAGACATCCCTGTTGACTTCTCAGAGGCACTTGAAGTCTAGACTGTGACAGCTTCATGTTGCTTCCAAAGATGTTTTTCTTATGCATATTCTCCACTTCCTAGCATGAGAATATTTTGAACTACAACACCTGTCTTAAAGTAATGTACTCAGAGAAGAATGGATCTAGTATTGAAGGAATTCTTTAATTACTGTTTGGCCCCCCTCTTTTTTTTTTTCCTCTAGCAAAAAAGGAAAAAAAGGAAAAAAAGAAAAGAAAGAAAGAAAAGGGGAAGACTGCCCGGGAAGTACAGGCAAAGCAGTCATCCTCTTCTTCATCGCCCAGAAGCAAGGCAGCAAAGGAAAAGGATGACCCAGGCCCTAAGAAGCTCAGCAGCAAGAACTCTGAGAGAGTTCAGAAGCCAGAGTCCAGGGAGGGATGGAAGCACTGCTCAGGCTCCCCCAAGGTGAGGACCACCTGCCGTGGTGCCCCAGAGGACCTGGGGAAGGAGCTGAAGAAGGAGAAACCCAAGCATGAACACAGGTCCTCAAGCAGGAAGGAGGCAAGAGAAGAAAAGAACAGGGATAAGGACAGAGGGCGCAGCTCAGACAGACATTCTAGCCGGAACAATGGGCGTTCTGAAGGCCATAGTCACAGAAGCAGAAGTAAGAGCCGAGACAAATCCCACAGGCATAAAAGGGCTCGGCACTCCCGGGAGCGGGACTTCTCAAATCCTGGTCACCGTAGGCATCACTGAGTCCTTTTCACCTGCTCAGTAGATTTGGCAATGAATTGTGTTTT